AGGCCTGCGATCGGACGCCGAGGTTGCTTTGTTTCTTCTCGATAGGTGAGTAACACCGTGTCTGCGCCGCAACAGCTAAAGTCTGTCTAGTACACTGGACGTGACAAAGCTACCGTTGAAAATCATTTGAAATTTGTGTCAATACATCATGAATAGAATGCAGGAGCTGTTTTCTGTCAGGATTTGTCGTGTCGTGCCGCGCCGCATCCAGTGTAGACCATAGATATGTATATATATCTATGGTGTAGACAGCATCACTGATTATAATGAGTTCCATAGTATTTTGTCGCGCCGCGCCACTCGCGTCTGGTGTAGACACGATGTAACATTGGTTTTGCTTTGTTTCACAGAACTAATCGTTGCCTGGGTTGCGTACATATGTGTAGGGCGGAGCTATCAAAATAGGGGCGTGTTTGTTTTGGTGATTTCAAATGTCAACATTGGCTACCAGAAATCGCTTACCCCACCTTTAATGTCTAAAAATCTACTCTACACACATCATCAGATTTTAACAGAAGAATTAATGTGTTCATTTCTAAGCTTCACATTTCTGCTTTTACAGAAAACTGGCTCCATACACTTCCAGTTTATTCCCATTTTTGCTTTTTTTTTAAATGAATAAATAAATACGAACTGGGGATGAGTTGAAATGAATTATTTGTGGCACACTGTGATAAAGGGTAAAGATATAAGTGGTTCACCTTCAGGGCAGTTTTAAAGCCGCTCACAGCAGCACTGCAGAGCCCCTTCACCCGCGTCTGATCGCCGCTACAGTCCGCCTGCCGTACACACAGAAACAGAACCCGAGCCGCCAGTCCAGAGGCCAAAGACAAGACACCCTCTGCCCTCACATCTGCCACAGAGAAATGTTCGCATGAATAACCGTCTCTTAACTAAACTCCAAGTGTTGTGTGTGCTGCTGACCTGTTATGAGGTGTTTGATCAGCTTGCTCTCATCTTTCTTCCTGCACTCCAGCAGTCCGGTGAGCATCTGGCTCTTCTGAGGGGCAGGAGATGTTGGGTCCTGAGATGCAGCTATGGCTACACCTGAGCGTTAAATACATTTTCAACAGTATATGTATTGTATTATGAAACTTAAAACAAACGTGTGTGAAATATTTAGCTTGAGAAGTGCATTCATGCTACTCATTAAAATAAAAACATTTGATTTTTTCCTTTGTTTGTTTTTAAAGAAAGAAATTAATACTTTTATTAAGCAAGTACACATGAAACTGATCAAAAGTGACAGCAAAGACACTGTCAAATAAATGCTGTTCTTTTGAGCTTCCTATGAA